AACTTATCCAAATGCTTGTAAGGTTCTTTACTTGGAAGTCCATGATAGTTGGGAAGCATTTGAATGGTTTATGGTTCAATCTCATAGTGATGTGCTATAAATGGGGGCAATTGAATGCAAGTAGGTGCATGTGACGACCCAAGTTTTTCAACCCGGTGCGTCAGTGATGAACCGAAAGATGATCCGATAACAGATCCGAAATGCGGAAGCAAAAGACAAAAAAACAGTCTCTAGAGATACAACATGACTCTAAGACACCATTGTGACCCTCAACGAGGTCACGGGACCCAAAGGAATCAAATGCAGAAACAACATTTCAAAAACGGACAAGAATGCGCCTAGGGGCAAAATTTTCATTTTCAGCCTAAAAGTGGGTGCCACCGAGCACACCATTGGAAAGACAACGAAAAATCAATGAACTTAGACTCAAAAATCGCTTGATTCGGAGTCCGGATGAAGAAGATATGGCTAACGGAAGAAAAATGGACAAAACGGTCAAAAAGAGGCAACCCTTGAACATCTAACCGGTTAGATGGCTAACTGGTTAGAAGGCCAAAAATAGTGAAAAAAATGTTGCCCACACTCATCTAACCGGTTACGAAACCCCTCATAACCGTTTAGATGTGAAGGGGCAGTAAGGGTGCGACCCAAAAAACCTGGCAGTAGAGGTTTTTCCGGAAAAAATAGAAATTTAAGTGCCTAGCTGACATTTTCTGAAATCGAGTTTTCTATGTGACTCGCTAGGAAACTCAAAAACATACGCAATGTGAAATGCCCAAAATGGTTTATGTTACCAAGGTCCTCCATATGGTCATTGTTTTGCTCCTCCATTTATGAATTGGAGAATTAGAACTACCTCTTCCCCTAGGATTACAAACAACCGATTCAAGATGAAAATCAAGAGGGACAAGAGTAGGATTCAATGACCTACAACTATGCATGCACTAGCAAAATAAATAACAAGAAATTAAGCAAGTAACAATTACTTCGCCCCCACAACAAATCAATGATCAACAAATCTCTACATACAACGATCCCATACTCCCATGCTTGAACAATATGCAAAGAAAATTAAATTGCCTCCATACGTGCACACGATCAATCTAGGAAAGTAAAAACATACCTCCACGCGGGACGACGATTTAACTAGATATTGAGTTAGAAAGATCTTACAAATGTTCCTTAAGCACTTCAATTTAATTTTCCTTTTTTAAGCCTTGCTATGCTTTGCAAATTTTTAGATTTCAGCCCTTTTTGCTTTTTCATAGCTTCACTTGGCTTCCTTGCTTCCATGTTCTTTAATTCCCTTTGCTTCACTCTCTTGCTCAATGCACCTAGCCAAGTAAGAACAAACACAATAAGTAACTAAAGATAAAACAAAATAAAAACATGATCAAAAGAGTACTAATTCCTATTTGTTTCCAAAGAAATATGGTGTTGCAAACTCAATCCTCGGCAACGGCGCCAAAAATTTGGTGTCGTGCCGTCGCGAGCACCAACGTTCGATGATGTGCTAAATAGCGTGAATGTGCAGTGTGGCCAAGTTTTAAATTTATAAATGCCACTACTACCTCTAACTAAAAATATAGCTAGGGTGAGTAGGGATCGTCCCAAGGGATTGTGGGCGTATTTGCAATGGAAACAATATATGGGGTCAGTAGGTCGAATGATCAAAATAGTGGTTTGTTTGGTTGATTACACTACAATACAATTGAAATTAAAGCAAACAAAACACAATGATTGTAGAAGATAGAGAAAAAGATATAGAGGAGAGGACTTGGGGTACTAGAGCTCGCCACTAAGCTTGACTTTACTAGACACTAGCAATTGTATATCAATGGGGAAATTAAATTGTAACTAGTGTGTGTGTGTGACATTAATTGAAAATAGGTATGGATGGAAAATAAGTATAAATTGTCTAGCCAATTCAAGTGGTAAGCACAACCTATCAAATGAGACCAAAATTCATTCAATAAAATCACAATTTATGCACACACAATTTTCTAGAAACATACACCCTTTTCATTCATAAGTATGGAACACCAAGAAATAAGAATAGATTGTCCACCTATCTATGAATCTAAAGCAACTACACTACAGCTACACTAAAGACATGGAAATTAAACTAAGTAAGCTAAAGGTGTGGCATAATCCATCAAGAAACAAGTGTGAACCATCAAAAACAAGTTACAAGAGTGTTCAATTAAGCATTATATTTTGACCATCTCTAGATTAACTTCATCTATACACATAGACATGCATAAATTCTACTAAATCTAGAGAAAAATACATGAATCATCCATTCTAGCATACATAGATATATGGTCAGAAGTAGATAATTAATTGAAAGCATTAATCCATACACATCAAGTAGAAATCACAAGATATATGTTTTAATCCAAGATCAAAACATTTGTTACAAATAAATCCCCAAGAATATACAAAGCACTAGGTCTAGGAAGCAAACTTATGGGCTACTCTAGCCCTAAGTAGATGTCTAGCCACTCATTGAAGTAGTCATCCAACCCTCAAGGGCTATCTCCATTTTAGAAATGACCTCTTTCTTGATGGAAACCCTAGAAGAATGGAAGAACTCCCAAAATGTGTAAAGCTCTCTCTAGTCTCTAGCCTCTTCTCCAAGATATGAGATATGATGAATTATCCAAGTATATGAATAAATGGCTCCAAATCCTTATATAGGTAGGTCAAGTGTCATACCCAATAGTCTGGATTCGTGTACTAGGGTCCCTCCAATGATTACACCATGAGCCAACTTTTAATGAGCTAGAATTTGTTTTATTTCGGACTTGAGGAGATTCAATCGATTGAACTGTGCTGATTTCGATCAAACTATGCTAAGATTCATCGAATGCTACAGAGATCAATCATCCTTGGCGGCGCCTTTTTGAATAAAGACAAATCTCTGAGATATTTTGGGATATTTTGGAAAAGAGACAAAAGTGGTAGGTGGGGTGGTAGGTGTAGATAAGATCGAATCATTTCGATCAATCTTAGAAATGTTGGATCGATCAAACTTGGTGGATTCTTTTGGATAAGGACAAATGCTTGGATCCATCTTGAGGTGCCTAGATCGATCACCTTCAGATCGATCAAAGAGTTGTTGAGATCGATCGAACATGTTGGCTTTTCACACTTTGCTTCATTTTGCTTCCACTTTGCTCATTTTTTCTATTTAGCTTGAGATAACTTCTTTAAGGCTCTTATTTGGCTGAATTAACTTATTTTTGGGATAAGCACCTGAAAAGAGCAATAACATGAAATTAAAATAAGACGAGAAAATAAGATAGATAAAGGTCTTACAATACTCGAGCTTAAAGGATTTAAATGCGTACTTTTCAACGCTCATCACACATGGTCCTATATGTCCTAATGGGTTTTTATATATTGTAGGCTCAAAAGCTTTGGACTTGGGTTACTAGTTTATTGGTTTTTGTGCAGTACTTCACTAGCTTTGCTTTATGTTTGGCTAATATAAAAGGCTTGGAATGCCTTTATGATTGCGGAGTCTTTGTGTTCACTTATAATGGTGGTTCCATTTGTGCATGTTGTTTGTATGATCCCATCCTGGTGTTCACATCGGATGAACTCTGTAATATTATTTTGGTGTAGTGTTTTTTCATTTCCCTCTTATATAATTAAGGCCTCATTAGGGCCGGCTCGGGCCTTAGGCGACCTGTCCCAGCCAATAAGAAGGTCCCAAAATTTTAAAATTTTCTTATATTAAGTTATACTATAATTATTTCCTAATATTGTTAATATTTAATAAATATAGAAATTTTATATTAGACCTCAAAGATTTATATCTTAAAATAACTTTTTTTTTTTTTTCCTTTCCCCACTCGTTTCGATTTTATAATAGGCCTCAAATTTTTATATCTTAAAATAATATTATTTTTTCTATTTTCCCTCTCTCCTCATTCATTCCGATTTAAATATGAAGCCTCAAATATTTATATCCTAAAATAACTTCTTCTTCTTTTCTCTTTTCTCTTCCCTCCCTCATTCCGTTGAACTCTAATTGATACATAAATTTAATATTGGCCCCCAAAGATTTACATCCTTATATAACTTTTTTTTCCCTCTTTTTCTACTCTCATTCACGTTTTACAATAAATCCTAACCAGTATAGAAATTTAATATTGGGCCTAAAAATTTGTATTATTAAATATTTTTTCCCCCTCTTTCTATCTCTCATTCATGTTTTTTACACCAGTACTAAAAAAATTTATGGGTAAGTTACACCAATAGTAAAATATTAAATATCTATTTAATGTTGTTGTTTGGGAAAAATGACAGAAAACTTTTCATATTCTTTTTTATTTTTATTTTTTAAGTTTAATCTTCTTCTTTTTAACAAGTCTTTTCCTCACACTCTCATTACAAGTTTACAGTTGTTATTGAAAAATTAATAAAAGTATTGGATTTGGGTTTTCTAAATCAGGTTCAATGGTTGTTTTTCTTTAAATATTTTTTAATTTTATTAAATTTTGTTATTATAAATTTGTATCTATATATAGTTGTATATTTTGTTTTTGAGTTGTGATTAATTTTATTTATATTGTTAAAAAAATTATTTTTTATTTTTCGTCTATGGCCCCAAATTAAATTGAGCCGCCTTGGGCCTCATGACAACAACACGTGTCACGTCCAACCAAACAAAAAGTTAAAATGCACCATGATCACTTTTTCTTTCTATTCTTTTACCCACTTACTGTATTACTATTTTATTTTATTAGACGTGTATATCCAATGAAAAAAAAAAAAAAGACACATATCCTTAAACAGCATGATTCATTGGCGGGCCAAAAAGAAAAATAATGGAAGCGTGTACATTATCGGAACAGTAGTATTTAATCATTAAATTGAAAAGCAGCTCTCTTATATAAGGCCTATTGAAGGATGAACGTATGAACCACTCAGCCATAAGTTTGATTAATATATATATTCATCCCCATAGTTACTTACAACTAAGAAGCTAGATGGAGTTGATGAAGAGAAGCTTCAAGTTGGAGCTTTTAGGGTTTTTGTTGTTCAATGTGTTTCTCCTTTGCATGGCAAAGGAGAACATCACTACCATCAACTGGGTTGTAAGTATTTAAGATTTATAATTAATGTTAGGTCTTTTTTGTTCACTGTGTGAGTGTGTGTGTGTGTGTTTTTTTTTTCCTTTTTTCATTGTGCAAGTTCATAACTAGCGATGACCAAAATTAAGTTTGTTTCTGGGGTTGGGTTGGTGCATATATATTATGATTGGTAGATGGGGAGGGCATTTTCAAGACTGTTTTTAGGTCCCAAATCTCCCTGCCCAATAAAGAATTGACCATTTTTCTTCGCAAATAAACTATGCATCGCATCATCACAATCAAGGGGATACTGAGCCCATTTGATATCTGCGTATCAAATAAATTCTTCTTTCAAGTATGATAGTTGCTCTAGAAATTGGTCCGCTAATAAGGGCTTACTTCCCTTTCTCTCTTCCCTATACTAGGCAGTGAACGGCCAGGTAGTAGGCAACCTGGTCATCTGTTCGTAGGACCAAACCCTCGGCAATCCTTCTTTCTTCTCAAAACACTCGACGAATATATCACACAGACTCTCGGCATATAAGATGGGGTTTAGCATTCGTAGAAAGTTCTTGACATCCAATCATGAATTTGGCATTTCTCCTCCATAAATCCATTTTTTTTTTTAGAATAATCCCTACATATATATATATATATATATATATATATATCCTGCAAATATTTGTGCTTTTATTTAGTGGAATTTATGATAAATTTCTAACGTATGTGAGTTTGATTTATAGCTTCAAGAAGCCAATTACACACGGTTGTGTAGCACCAAGTCGATCTTGACCATAAATGGCCTATTTCCAGGACCACCCCTGCATGTCCACAAAGGTCAGAGGTTGATTGTCAATGTTCAAAATCAAGGGACCTACAATGTCACCCTGCACTGGTATACATGGCTTTCTCTCTCTTCGTGTTTGTGTTAATGTAGCAAAACAAATATATATATATATATATCCTTCATTTTTTGGGAAAAAATAAAATGAAAACTTCATTTTTATCCCATGTTAACCTATAAAACTTCATTTTCATCCCAGCTTCACGTATCACTATTCAAGCCAGCGGGTCGCCTTCTGTAACACAATTTGTTGACTGGGTGAGTGAAATTGCAGGCATGGCGTGAAGCAACCGAGGAATCCATGGTCGGATGGTCCGAATTATGTGACACACTGCCCCATCAGACCCGGAGCAAATTTCAGTTATGAGGTCATTTTCTCAACAGAGGAAGGAACCCTGTGGTGGCATGCCCATAGTGACTGGACTCGAGCCACCGTCCATGGTCCCATCATTGTTCACCCTAAAAATGGGACCACTTACCCATTTCCCAACCCTCATGCTGAAATTTCCATTACTCTATGTAAGGAGATATTATATATATATATATATATATATATATATATATATAAAATTAAGTAATCATACATGAATATAAATAACATGAATAAATTATATATGTAGTATATATATATCTAAGGCTTAATATGGTTGGTTGTTATTGTATATATGTAGCATCTTGGTACAAGGGAGATGTGATGGAGGTAATTGAATCAGCACTTGCATCTGGAGTCGATCCCAATAAGTCTGATGCTTTCACCATCAACGGCTTACCTGGAGATTTATACAAAGATCTATTCAATTGTTCCACAGACGGTATGCATATTATATATTTATAGAGAGATTAATTTAATTTAAGGGTAAATTGTAAGGGTGTATTAAAAATAAAAAACACAGATTTCCTTTTTTAAAGGTATAGTAAAAGTATTTTGGAATTTTTTATAAATACAAAAAAAATTAATCAAATTTGACATTCAACTGATATTAGGGGACAATTTAAGGAGGAAAATACATTAACCGGTGGGTAGGAAATTTATATTCACCATATATGGCGCAATACTAAACTGACGAGTATATTTATATTTAAAATAAGAGTAGTGTTAGAGAAACCGAAGGTTTCTTTTGAAATAAATATCGAATTTTACTGGCTTTGTCCGCGTCAAATAATTTCATTACCTAATTCCTTATCATTGATATTTTCTTTCCCAGTTTTTCCTTTTTCTCTTTCTTCCTCTTCGTTCTTTCTCCTCTCTGTGTCTGGTTCTTCACCAATTCTTCTTATACATCTCCTCTTTTGAGATACACATATTGGAAGTATTCTAGATACAAGATCCAAAATTTTTTATCCTCAGCTCCTTTTTTAAGATTACCTACTTTTCTTTATTCATAAATCTTCCAAGAATAAATCTTTCCAATTCCAGATGAAAACTATGCAGAATTTTTTTTTTTTTTTTGGGTAAGTAAATATGCACACAAGAGTTGTCATTAATCTAAAGAAGAGAAACGGATGAATCTTCTCAAAGTTTTTATTTGATTTTTATGGATACAAAATCTAAAGGAGAGAAATAACAGTTGTAGCTTTTATTTTCTTTTTCTTTTTCTTTTTTGTTCTGTTTTGGTTTTGTGATTTTGTATTTGCAAAACATGAAGAAATTTAATTTTTTTTTATTTTATCTTCAATTTTACGAAATCAAAAGAGAGACAAAATCAAAATCAAAGATAAGATTTAATACAAAAGAAAAATCAAGAATTAGAAAAAGAGAGGAGAGGAAGGGAAGAGGTAGGAGATATTTTTTTAAAAAATAATCTGACGTGACTGAGATACGTTAAATTCGACCTTTTATTCCGTTGTTTAGTTCCGTTCTCTTATCATTTTTTTTAAAAATAATAAAAAATAAATAATTTAATAAGTATTCGAATTAAATCCAAATGAAATTGAATTAAATTCTAATTCTCTCTCCTCTCTTTCTTTCTCAAGCTAATCTTTATAGGTTCTGTCCCTCTCTCTCTCTCATATTTTTAGAGATAGAAACTCGTGCCTCCACAATTTCAAAAGTATCCTTTTTACATCAACTGAAACACCACACCTTTACACACCTTCCCCAACTTATAATTAGATCTCTCAACCCTTCAATTCAGTCAGATCAACTGATCAAGGTATAATAGTAAAATATCAAGCACCATCAAACAATGAAAGACTGAATTGAAGAACATGTATTGCAACAGGGGGCCAAAAATAAAAATAAAAAATAAAAAGTCATCAAATATATCACATCCGAAGGAAAAAAAAGCCAAAGACACTCCTCCTACGGAGTTACTGTACGATTCGACACTGGAGGGTTGAGAAATATGATACATATCCATAGGATCTAGAGATAGACCTTAATATAGTTTAAAAATCATAGATCGGACAAATTAGTAAAGAATTTATCAAAAAAGCACAACGAAAAATCTTTATTTCGGTCAGTGCAATACACATGTACACCATACATGATCAAATTCTTATATGTCCTCAATATTAAAGAATCTATATATATATATATATATATATAATTCTTTTATTCTGATTTCTACAAGGAAAATCCTAAGTTTTAGCCATGGCTGTGATACTAATTCTCTGAAGAGGGAAGGATAAGATTAAGTGTGAGAAAGAGGGAGAGGAGAGAAAATTAGAATTTGATTCGAATTTATTTAGGTTTAATCCGAATAGCTATCAAATTATTTATTTCTAATTATTTTAAATGTAAGTACAGTTCTCAATTTAATATTGCGCCACATACGTAGTAAATATAAGTTTTCTACTCACCGGTGTGTAGACAAGTATTGTCCATTTAAGGATTTATATTCATATGCTGAATAATAAGAATGCTTTTTGCCCCAAGGATATTGCGGAAATCTGGGAGGTAAGTCTTAAGGTCTCGCTTTTGACCCCGCACTTCTAACTTAAATTGTGCGTGTGTAATGAGACCAATATACGTGCTCTAAAAGAATATAATAATAAGAATGTGTATTTTTTTTTTTTTTTTTTTCACTTTATCCTTAATTTAATTTATCTCATCAACACGTCAATTAAACTGTCAACTGTTATTGGCTTGGGTTAAAAAAAAAAAAAAAAAAAATCAATTAAACTGTAACTGTTATTGGCTTAAAATGATTGCAGGGATATTCAAAATAATGGTGGAGTACGGCAAGACCTATCTTCTTCGCATGGTGAATTCGATATTGAATGAGGAAATGTTCTTGATGCTTGCAAATCACACCCTCACTGTTGTTGGGATTGACGGAGCTTATGTCAAACCCATAGTTACAGACTATATCATGATAACGCCGGGACAGACCATGGACATTCTGATGACAGCAAATAACACCCCAGGCCAATATTACATGGCGTCGAGAGCCTACGGAGAAACAGCTTATGACAACACCACAACCACTGCCATACTTGAATACGAAGGCAACTATACAGTTCCATCAACGCTTCCATTCCCGGACCTTCCCGAATTTGAAGACATTGATGCTGTAACTAATTTTACGAACCAAATCAAGGCTCTGGCCAGCAGTGAGCACCCAGTAGACGTCCCACAATCAATCGACAAACGTCTCATTATAACTATTTCTATGAACACACTGCCGTGTACTGAGAGTACGTGTACCGGTGCTACCAGGCTCGCGTCGAGTTTGAACAATGTTAGTTTTCAGGAACCAGCCATGGATATATTGCAAGCTTACTACCGACAGATAGGAGGGGTGTTTACCACAGATTTTCCGAGTGAGCCGCCTTATGTTTTCAATTATACGGCGGATTCTGTGCCGGATAATTATACGACGCCGGACACGGGAACGAAGGTGAAAGTTTTGGAATATAATACGAGTGTGGAGATAGTGTTCCAGGGGACTAATGTGATGGGGGTAGCTGAGAATCATCCAATGCATCAGCATGGGTATAGCTTTTATGTAGTGGGAATGGGGTTTGGAAATTTCGACAATGAGACTGACCCGGCGGGATATAATTTGGTTGATCCACCTGAAATGAATACAGTTGGTGTCCCTAGAAATGGATGGACCGCCATCAGATTCATAGCTGATAATCCAGGTACCTAACTACATTTTTAAATTAGTATCTAACTAGGAGTCACAAATTCAAGAGTCTGTACACCATGATTCATTACATGGTTCACTTTTTTTTAAATTCGATGCGCTAGTAGTATTAGTCAATTTATACTAACTTTGTCTAAATCTATTATACTGTGACAACGACTAATACTATCACCAACGAACCATGTTGTACACTCCATTAGTCAATTATATATATATATATATATATATATATATATATATATAATGATGGATATATATTGTTATAACGATGCAGGGGTGTGGTTCATGCACTGCCACTTGGAAAGACATACTAGCTGGGGTATGGATACAGTGCTAATTGTGAAGAATGGGACCACCACAGAAACGAGTATGCGACGGCCCCCACGTCACTTGAATCCTTGTTGACTTTCTCAGAATTGATTCATAGAGGTGGGAGATCTTATATTTCAATGTGGCTGAAATAGAAGCAAAATAAGGATAACATGCATATATATATGTATGTATGTATGTATGTATGTATGTCCAAACTTGTTGCGAGGCTTTCTTCCAAATGTTGTTGATTCATGTCAGGGATGTTTTTAGTATTTCTGTGTATCAAATTTCTACAAGGGTATCAATAATTAATTAATGTGTCCAAGATCATTGTATTATTTGTGAGTTGTACAACAGAATAAGTTGTGAATTTTAATTCGAAAAACACTTTAGAGGAATAAATTGATATCACGTGCTTATTTTATCCAAATTGTTGCTGGATGAGATATTTACTAAAGTAAAGCAATCACACAACAATATAACAAGTAAAGTAGTGTTAGAAAGATACCGAATTTTAGCGAGAAAAATCAATTAGAAAAACCTCGTGAATTTTCACGTTGTACCAAGCGAAACAATCAATTATGTATAACTTCGATTTCACTTTACCACTGCCCAATTTGCTAAAGGTCTTTGCTTTTGTGACTCTTGCAACAGCTCTCGACTTCAAGCTCTAGCCAAAAAGAGAAACCAAACTGAAAAATGATTCAAGTTAACGTTTTGGTCTACAAGAGCGCAATCGGTTGCGTTGAGTGCAACCGGTTCTGCTTAGCCGATTGGGCGACCGGCTCTGCATAGGCAGAGAGTTATGATTAAAAAAACAAATTGAAAAACTACCAAGCGCAACCAGTTGTGTGGAAGACAACCGATTCTGCACCAACAATTTATTTTCCTGAAAAATAGTTCTTTGAAAATCATTAGAAGTGCTTAAGTCATTAGTGTATCGAAGTGTAGACACATCCATATGCTTTATTTGATAACTAAATTAGTTGAACAATGTTTCATATATATATATATATATATATATATATATATATATATTACTTTTAGATTTAAGTTACCAAATATGATTGTGACTTTTATTTCAATTTTATTTTTTATTTTTTTTTTATGAATTTAACAACAAAAATATAAAATAAAAACAGTTTCGAAAGATATTTAGTAGAGTAACGTTAAATTTCTCATTGCCGACATAAATTTTGCTTTCACTAAACAGTTTATATAAATACTTTATTGTCTTATTAAATTTGGCCGCGATGATTTTTTTGCTTTATGATTTTTAGAACACAATTAAGTTAATCTAAAGTGAGGTCGTCGGCTAACTAGAAAAGACTACAGTTACAAAGGAAATTTCTGTTATGTAGAAAGTTCTAAATCTAATTAATTCTCGCTCTTGAAAACCTCTCATCCAATGCCACTTGTAATATATTAAATGAATTAATGAAAGGCAAAGAATGAGAAGAATGAAATCACATTCTTTGATTTCAAATCCAACGGTTGATCTGCGTTATTCACTTTCGGCATAATTCAACCAGCCTTCCTCCAATTACGAGGAGGGGAGATTTGAACAAGGATTTACTTGTTTAGGAAATTGAATAGGCTACCAACTAGATAACTTGACAATGTTTCACACCCAACAAATTCAACAATACATGAGTTTATTTTAATTCTATGTACGATTGGTTGTATTAGTGACGTTACATAATTTTTGGACATCTTGTTTTCCACACTTAGAAGCTTCTCTTGCTCTCACTATTGAGCAATTCTAAATTAAATATGATTGTTATGTTTTTTTTTGTTCACCGGTGTGTAAGACATTATTTTGTGTGTGTGTGTATATATATATATACACACACGCGCGTGTGTGTGTACATCCTAATTGGTTCATTTTACATGTGTATATATACCTAACTTCTACTCCCATTAACCTATGTGTTTTTTAATATAATGATTATGTTTGGTAACACCGAATCTGATATTAAATTTAGAATTGATTCAACCAACCTTCCCCACAGCGACATTTTTACAACTAGATCTTTATTTAGGTGTGGGTTTACTTTGGTCCCATCAATGTAAGGGTATTGATGTTTTCCTACTTTTGAGTTTCTCCTTCCGCTGGTTTTTATGAGCTCTGATTTGTTTGATCTTTTCTTAGTAATAGATTCAAGGGCCTGTTAGGAGGCTGCTAGCTCCAAGCCTCCATCGCATATTTTATTCTTTTTAATATAAATATTGTGTATATATATATATACAAATACTATCTCTGTCTCATATTAAATCAAGTAAATATTCTATAAATAGAGTGAAAAAGCTTAACTTCACAAACAAAGCAATAGGACTCACTAGAGTCGTTAAACTCATGAACACACGGGGTATGAAAACTGGTTGGCACGATAAACTCCCGAAAGGCAGAGGTGCGTCACAGACCACCAACTTGAATGATCCTCTCCTTCCAGTATTTATTAGAAGAACCCAGGCTAGGGACCATGGCCTTCCCACCACGAGGGTGAAGGTGGTATCTACCCTCCTAACAAGTAAGAAGGTCAGCAAGTCTGAGGGTAAGCCTTTTAGTCTGGTTCAGAGCCAAAAGGCAGGATAAGATTTTAAAGAAGTTGGGATTAACCTGAGGGGGTTTAATTTTAAGACTAAAAGCACCCAAAGTTAAAATTGGTTGAGAGGAAACTTGAAAGTGGACAAATGCCCAACAGCAAAAGAGCATCTCGCCACATCCCTTAAACCCTTGTCGATTCTAAAGTTAAGATCCCGGTTATTATGTGATATTCCCTAATTTCTAAACATGGATTGATCAGATCCACACTAAAAAATCGAGAATATCAAAATAATTAGGTAATAAACAAGTACATATTACAACTCCATGCATCGTCGCCGAAAAGAAATTGAATAAATGAATAATCATTGACGTTCACTCCATGCATCGTCGCCGCCGGTGCGGTTCATCCTCTGTAGCACATCTCGCCGTCCTGGTTGGGGACGGTGGTTCTTGTGGAAGGCATTTACTTTGGATGCAAAATAAATAAATAATCACTTCTTGAACTGAGTAATGGGGTTTGTTTTGTTTGGGGATCTGGTAACTAAAATTTCAGATTTTGGGGGTCAATTTTTTGTTGCTGGTGCAGGAATTAGAGTTTTATTTTGTGTTTGGAATAATTGGTGCTTGAAGAGTGAAAATTAGGTTTTTCGGAAACAATTTTCTTATGGGTGTAGCTACTAAATTGTACTTAAAATTTTCTTTGGATCAGTTTTTGCAGTTTATATAATCCCTTTTTTTCTCTTATATTGGATTAGATTTGCAAGGAATTGGGTTCTAATTTTTTCTTCTCTTCATGTTTAGCACTGAGAAAATGAAAGCCTCCACTCAACTTACTGCCATCAAAGCATAGCATAGAAGATCTTTTATATATTTTTTTATTTTTTATTTTTTATTTTTTCCTCTCTCTCGGGAAAAACATACCATATGGTCCTTATATTACCTATATAAAACATATATGAGAATTTGGAAGTTCTATTTTTGTGGGTTTCAGAACTAATTATAATTTTTTGATTCTACATTGTTCAATCATTTTTTTTTTTTTTTGGCTTGTTAAACGAGCAAATCAAGTTCTGTTCAATTCTTATACATTTATGTGAAATTTACTGATTTTATAAGTCTATTCAATGTATTGATTGATGAAATTGTTGTTTATTGTTTATAACTCTGATTTTGCTATCCGCACTAATTATTATTTTTGAGTTGCAGAGGCACCTGGTGATGGAGTAGATGACAGGTTAGAGATAGAAGGAGGGTTATTTTGCTCTTTTAAAATAAATTAAGAAAGGTTAAAATAATAATTTTTTGATCAATTAGGATCATAATTTATAAACTACTTTGTAATAAGACCATCCAAATGCAAAATGCTATTTTTGCATGCCAAAGTTATATTTTGAGAGGTGTTACAGTGTCAAAATGGTATATTTTAGCAATTATACTCCAATGATACATTTCATCTAAAATGTTATTTTCTGACACAACCACCATTTTTTTTTTCAACTACCATTCCCAACTACAATTTTACAACATGATAAACCATAATAAAAAATAAAAATAAAAAAATGTTCTAGGGAACTATTGACACCAAGACTTAGCAGCCACCTCAACGGTGACGTGGACCAGTGAGGAGCCGACAAGTGTTTAATATGATTTTGTGAGAAGACGGCCAATTGAGAATAATTATGAGAAGATTTAGGGAAGTATATTCAGTCACCTTATCAATAAGGTTGTTACAGAAATATAGCAACTAATATTTGATTTAAGTCAAATGGATTGTTTGACTAGGAAAGAAATACTAGAGTTTCGGCTAAAATAAAATCCCTATGAAATAGGGATTTAGTTGGAGAAGGAATTCGAAAAAGGAGTAGCCGCATGAGTCATGATATGGTTAAGTTTAAAAGTTACAAATGGCTATTGGGTCATTTAAGGAAAATACGGCTGCCAAGCTTAAGGAAAGAAGTTGCTAAAAATTAGCAACTTTTCAGCAACGTTATAGCAATTAGCATTGACTAAATCAATGAAGGTTTTTTTCTAGCAAAGATATTCAACTAAAGCAAGAAATAAAAGGAAGTAGAAATATTTATGGGTTTTGACCCAGTTTGAATTACGAAGAAAAGAAAATCAAGGAGAAGAGGATTTTCAGAGCAATTATTTAGGGAATAAGTTGATTAAAGACTTCTATAAATAGAAGTATTGTAATTCATTCCAATTCGTCCAGCACCACCCACAAAGCAGTGTGAATCCAAAATTCATCAATTGACTCAACGTCATCTTATCTTCAAATGTTTTGTCCAAATGACAAATTTCATTCGAAGAAACTAAGTTCCAGTAACTTATTCTTCTTTTGTAATGCTTAATTATGCTATTTATAAATTTAATCATTGTTTTATGCAACGGATTCAATGACAAATCTTTGATCAGATTATAGTCATTTCAATTCGGCTATTCCATTCTATTGCAAACATTACTTTTCAGTTTATTTCAATTCGGCCAATTTCCTTTATTGTCTATTTCAATTCAGTCAGTTCATTTACTTTAAATTGCATTTTTATTTCTTTTAACACTTTTATAAAAAAAGTTCTTACAAATAAGGTAGAAAAAGAACCTTACTGGGAGTTCTTACTATTCTCTCTCCCACACATTCGCCTGAAGTCAACCAACGAAAAATGGATAGGTTGGTGTTCAATTCATAGTTTTGAATATTTTATACAAATACTCTGGCACGCCTACAAAATTCCATCGACCAGTGTGAATATAAAACCGCGCGAACATATTTTGGT